TGCAAGTAAGCCCACTCACCTTGAAAGCCAAATGCTCTCAGGACTTGTCTTCCTGGTGCTAGACTGCAAGGCTTGGAGCGTTACATGGGGCTCAGAACTCCCATTCCTGTGAAAGAGCCTCTGCAGTATACTTATTCTCTACTTTGTGGGTTGCCCATCCTCGGGGGCAATATGAGTCTGTCCCTCCTACCGGTCTCATTATGGTTCCTTCTTTGTGTCTTTAGGTTCCATTCTTTTTCCTCTACGGTTGTTCTGTAGATAGTTGTGGTTTTTGATGTACTCATGAGAAAAGGTGAGCCCAGGGCCTTTCTACTCCACCATCTTGACCTCTCTCTTCAGTCATAGCCTTCTTAATGTTTTTCATTTATTTTAAGAATTCATTTATTACTAAGGCCCCAGACTTTTAATTTTATTACTTCAATCTTAAGTTTTAACATTACTAATTCCATTGTTTAGTTTGTTGTTGTTGTTCAGTTGCTAAGTCCTACTCTTTGTGACCCCATGAACTGCAGCATGCCAGGCTTCTTCTGTCCTTCACTGTCCCTGAGTTTGCTCAAACTCATGTTCATTGAGTCAGTGATGCCATCCAACCAGCTCATCCTCTGTTGCTCCCTTCTCTCTTGCTCTCAGTTTTTCCCAGCATCAGAGTGTTTTCCAATGAATTGGCTCTTCGCATCAGGTAGCCAAACTATTGGAGTTTCAGCCTCAGTGTCAATCCTTCCAGTGAATATTTAGGACTTGATTTCCTTTGGAATTGACTGGTTTGATCTCCTTGCTGTCCGAGGGATTCTCAAGAGTCTTCTCTAGCACCACAATTCAAAAGCATCAGTTCTTTGGCACTCAGCCTTCTTTATGGTCCAACTCTCACATCCATACTTGACTACTGGAATTATTTAGTTTAGTAGCTTTCAAAATATTTGTTCACACTGAGAAATCTACTTTTCTTCATGTCCCACAAATGCATACATATATACACTTATGTACATATATGAAATATCTTAATTTTGTGGAGAACTTGCAAATATTCTAATTTTTTTAAAGCTAATCATAACCCATGCATTGATTGTAGACTCACAGTTTTGCAAAACACTGATCTAGTGAATCAGTGATATTGTGGAGCACAGTTTATGTTATTTAGCTTTATCTCCAGCCTCACTAGAAGTCACTTGTTATCCTAAGAAAAGGAGGGTCACTTCAAGCCATTTTTAGAGTCAGCATACCATGAATGAATGAAATTAAATTACAGAAATTATAAGAAACTCTGAACTTTGAAATAACATGGAACTAGGCTGAAATTCTAGTCTTGCTTCTCTGGGCCTTGGTCTCTTCATTTATAAGCCAGATGTTAGACAATATTAGAGTGGTTAAAAGCATGAATTCTTGAGTTGTACATCCTGGATTCAAAACTAAGATCTTGGATCTTTAACCTCTCTCTGCCAAATTATCAGTGAAGGGGAGAGTGACATTTACCTCACAGTGTTTTGGGAACTAAGTGAACAGTAGGATGTGGCATAATATATAGGAATCACTTAGTAAAAGTCAGTTGTTGTTGTGTGTTAAAGGAGATGATAATAACTGCTGAAGATTTGAGAACAGTTTATAATAATGGATAAGAAAAGTTCCTACCCTCAGTGATTAAGCATGTAGCAGAGTATAATTGGTTGAAAGATTAAAACCTTTTCATATATTTAGTAGCTGGACATTTCTTATGGCTACATCATTACTTAATTCTGAAGCAGTTAAAGTATGTTAGCATGAGTCTTAACTATCAGTCATTCCAGAGATATCGTAACATACAGATAAATTACTCACTTTGGTATAAACTTATTTTGAGCTATTGTGGTATTCACATTTTTTTTCATGCCTTTCCTTTTAATTTTCTAAGTCATGCTTTCCTTACTTTTCTGTTCTTATTTACTGTATTCTCTGGTTTATTTATAAGTCATATCATTAAAGTCTCAGATTTTTAACCGCAAGGAACAATTCATCTCAGATCCCTATTAAAAGATGAAGGCCAGAGAGTAGCCTTGCCAGTGTTTCAGTTAGTGACAAAACTGGGACTGGATCCTGGTTCTTTTGACTTCCAACTTAAGTGTTTTTTCCACAATACCAAGGCACATTTTAGAAATAAATGGGTCAGACTCAGTGTTTAAGTGTACACTGGCTTTCATATATTCTTCCTTGAAATCTTAAAGGAAAATTTAAAGGTAGTTAAATCATTAAAAAGTTCATCGCCTTTCATAAATTTGATTTCAGCAATATTTTGATTTGTTTCACATGTCCCTGTAAGATTGAGTTAACACATCAAAATTATATTTATGGGTTTTTTTTAATATTTGTAACTGTTGAAGTGATAAAAATAGTAAATATTTAACATTAGTATTGTGAAAAGCTAGTATATTGTTTTTGTAGGGCATATAAATTTTACTTAAATTTTTATTATTTTAAAAAAATTCTTTAGCAGACTGACCTAAATTCTCTATGGCCTCTGGATAATTTTTGTTTTTAACATTTAACATTTTAGTACAATCTATTCTAAACTATAAAAGTTATCTAATTTGTGAATAATCCAGGTTTTTCCCCCACCATCTTGCTTTTGCCCTTTTCATTCATCAATGCTTAAGGAATAGAGCAGGATAGAGAGTTGGTGAGACTCAGAAACTCAGTTTTTCTGATTGTTACCTTAGTTGGCAAAAGTTATTGAAATAAAAAATCCATATATAGGATCCTCTTTGGATTTTGGTTTCCTGTAATCAAGTGTTGACTCTGTGGGAAGATGCATAATTCTGTTGAAATTCAGTGGTGTACCAGAAGACGACATAGGGCCTTATGAGAGAAGGCTCCAGCATTGTCTAGTAGAGACTTGCTTTGGTGGCAAACAGATGGAGGCATTCAGGGTGGGAAATTCTAAGAGGGCCCAACCTTGGAAGGAGGGTTGTTTCTCAGAATGTGATGTGTATTCTGAGGTGGCAAATTACTTGAACAGACAGCCTAAGATTAGAGCACTGTTTGGGTCAATGGCAGCATTTTCTAGATACTTCTGACCCTTCCTTCATCTTTAACTCTTATAGCAACACTAAGATTTGTGAACTGTAAATTCAGAATACAAAGTCTGATTTTTTTTCCTTACTTCTGAGCTTAATTATATAAAGAATCTGAAAGGGTTCATAAAAGTAATCAATCCTATTTTTAGTTGTATATTTAAATCATTACTTTTCTTTACAATAAAATTTAAGACTTTTTTGGAAAGTGTGGTTGTCAAATCTATATCTGGCCTGTCATACACATAGAAGTATATCCCCCCTTATTTCCTGACCCAAGTCTAGACTCATATATATCTCCTTCCAACTCATATACTGTGGCAACCTCCTAGTCTGTCTCCCTCAGAATAGTTCTGATCCCTTCAAATGCAGTTTTCATCCTTTCCCATTAAGAGTTCTGAATCATTCCCTTTGCCAAATATTCCTGCTCCAGTGTTTAATTTACTCTTCCTGTCTCAAAATACCTTTTCATGTCTAGTTAGTATTAATACCACACTCTGAGTTTCTAGTCATCACTCCTCCCCCTTGTAGTCAAGCTATTTCCTCATTGTTCCTCTCATGGTGCTTTTTTTTTTTTCCTTTTACTACTTTGGACCATACTCTGTCCTCTCATCTTCCTTTTCCTTTTCTGAGCTCTTATTCTACACAGTACCTCACAACACAGCACTTAATTCTTTTGTGTATACAGAATCAGATTAGGTCAGAGACTTCTGGAATTTCATCCCTGCACCTCAGTTCTTGCTATCGTTATAGTAGGTGCTCCATTAAAAAAATAATAAGTGAATAATCAAGGGATAGCAGCCGCAGAGGTAATGAAGAATCCTTTAAAAACCAAGATGGATATTTAACTTGGGGGGTAGGGGAGTACAGTGTTGAAAAGTTGGAAGACTGAATGAGTGAGGACAGCTGTTACCTATGCTGAAGGATTTGGGGATGAGAGATCATGGAAGACAGGTATCCTAAGACCAGTTGTTCTAAAATGCATAAGATATGTTCTTGGTGTCAAGTTTTATCTTCATTTCATTTAACACACTGGAATTGTCTGAGAGTTGAAAAATTGTCCTTCCCACTGCCACCCATTGCTGAGGTAAGTAGGTCCTTGGGAAAGGGAGGCATGGGGATGGGGAGCGAGGTCCAGTGGAAGACATGTAAAAGTATCCGATTGCTGGTATCTAAGGAGAGAGAAGAAAAATAACCGGTAATTATGGTAGTAGAATCCTCAGAGTCTAGTTTGAACAGCATTCTCAACTAATGCAGTAATTTAACTGATGAGTGACAGAGTGGTGGCATTCAGCTTGTAGTTTTATTTGGCCATACTTCCCACATTCTTTCTCCTGAGGAAATGCCCAAACGTGTAGATTCGAGTGACAGCAAGGCCGTTAAATCATCTGGGATATGAATGTGGTTTTGTTTTACACTCCAACAGCTATAAAATCAGTGAACGAAAATCTGGATCCTTTTTTTTTTCTTTTTTACTCCCTTTAAAAAATTGAATGGCTTCTTTACATTTCTTCTTTGGTATAACTCTGAATTAAAAGTTTAATTTAGAGATTATTTAATTCCTATCCCCTTTATCTTCATCAAGAATCCAGAAGCTTTTTATAACTGTAAAAAAGTTGTAATTCTCTTGAGCTTCTGCCAGTAGCATACGGTGATGCCAAAATTTATGTGTGGGAAAGTTGATTTCAATGAGGGTAATTTAGCTGAAGTTTAGTCTAAGAAACTAGTGTCTTGCTGCCAAGCAATTATTTGCATTTCTAAAAAATGACTTATACTTTTTACCAGTGCTTTCCTTTCATCATAAACTAGTTACTTAAGTAAGTTATTGTCACTAATGGCATATTTCTATAAAGGAAACTATATTCTTGTTTAATTCGGTTAACCTCAGACTTTTATTTTTAATATGCAAGGTTGAATACTTCTATTAAATGTTGCCTTTTGTTTGAATAAAATCTATAGGAATTAAATCAACAACTAGAAAAAAAGAAAGAAGTGGAAGACCGTGAAAAGAGAAAGATAATTGCTGAAGAAAAGCACAAGGAATGGGTTCAGAAAAAGAATGAACAGGTAAGGAGAAAAAAGGGCACACACATACTGCATCTCATTTATAGTCTTCATCCTGTTACTCCTAGTCATTACCTACGTGTTTCTCATTTTCTCTTAGATTCTTTCTTTTCTGACCTAGTTTTTGCCCCCTCCCCGCCCCACCCCAACCCTCTCCCCGCCAGGGACATCTGTCAGATCTTTTGTCCTTTGCTCTCTGCTCTCTCCCTTTTCCATCATGTGGCTTCCATTTGGATGTGGTTGCAGGTAGTCATGAAATCTGTTATCTCCAGACCTGATCTTCCAGAGCCTTGGATTTTCATCTCTTCAGTAGATAGGCACCTCTGGGCCTACAAATCTAAAACAGCCCATTTTTACCCATTCTCCTCTGACAGAACCATCATCTTGACTCCTTGATTTCTGATCTTAATGTAGCTTCTCAGGCACCAAGACATAATTGGAATTTTCTTGTTTCTAATTGCCAGTGCCTTTCCTTTATGATCATCTCTCTCCTGTTTGTGCTTTCTCCTTGTCTGGACTCATTACATTTTTCAGTTTATTTGTTGTTTATTTGCTTCCTTGGTGGCTCAGATGGTAAAGAATCTATCTACCTGCAATGCAAGAGACCTGGGTTGGATCCCTGGGTCAGGAAGATCTCCTGGAGAAGGGAATGGCTACCCACTCCAGTATTCTTGCCTGAAGATTCCATGGACAGAGGAGCCTGTGGGCTACAGTCCATGGTGTCTCAGATTCGGATATGACTGAGAGACTTTCACTTCACTTCATTGTTTACTTCCCATACTGGAATGTAAGCCCCATAAGGGCAGGGATTTGTGCCTCTTTGTTCAGTTATCCAGCAGATAAATCAGTATCTTGATGCTTAAAAGCCACCCAAGATTTGACTTCATCCTCTGTATCCTTGCCAGAGAAATCTTGCCAAAAAGCCAAATGTCATTCCTCAGTTCAAAACTACATCTTTTGTCATTCCCTACTCGCCTCTGAATAACATTTGAACTGTTCTGGCCTGGCTGGTTAAATTCTGCTCTCTGAACCATGTCTCCTTCACCTCTGCTATTCTTCATTCCACACTATCAGCCTCTGACTGGCATCTCTGGGAAGCACGTTCAGGATGAGCATGGCCCATCTTCTTGGCGTATTAGTTTTGCTGGAAAATATTGAGAAGAAAAGTGTTATTTTTATGTTAAAGCAAGCATAGATATTTAATAGTATAGAACATAAATTTTATAGTATTTTTAAAATACACAATAGGATTCAAAGAAATCCTTTGGATTGTGCTCCCCAGCCCCTAGGAATATATGTTCACAAGAACTTTTGAGAACATTTCTGTTCTATTTCTCACCTTTTTAAATAATTATCTCCTTGATGTGGGATCTCATCACATTTTCCCCCCTACCTTTGGTGGCTCAGACAGTAAAGAATCTGCCTGCAGTGCAGGAGACCCGGGTTCAATCCCTGGATTGGGAAGTTCCCCTGTAGAAGGAAGTGGCTACCCACTCCAGTATTCTTTTTTTTTTTTCCCATTTATTTTTATTAGTTGGAGGCTAATTACTTTACATCATTGCAGTGGTTTTTGTCATACATTGAAATGAATTAGCCATGGATTTACATGTATTCCCCATCCCGGTCCCCCCTCCCACCTCCCTCTCCACCCGATCCCTCTGGGTCTTTCCAGTGCACCAGGCCCGAGCACTTGTCTCATGCACCCAACCTGGGCTGGTGATCTGTTTCACCCTAGATAATATACGTTTCGATGCTGTTCTCTTGAAACATCCCACCCTCGCCTTCTCCCACAGAGTCCACAAGTCTGTTCTATACATCTGAGTCTCTTTTTCTGTTTTGCATATAGGGTTATTGTTACCATCTTTCTAAACTCCATATATATGTGTTAGTATACTGTAATGGTCTTTATCTTTCTGGCTTACTTTGCTCTGTATAATGGGCTCCAGTTTCATCCATCTCATTAGAACTGATTCAAATGAATTCTTTTTAATGGCTGAGTAATATTCCATGGTGTATATGTACCACAGCTTCCTCATCCATTCGTCTGCTGGTGGGCATCTAGGTTGCTTCCATGTCCTGGCTATTATAAACAGTGCTGCAATGAACATTGGGGTGCACGTGTCTCTTTCAGATCTGGTTTCCTCGGTGTGTATGCCCAGAAGTGGGATTGCTGAGTCATATGGCAGTTCTATTTCCAGCTTTTTAAGAAATCTCCACACTGTTTTCCATAGTGGCTGTGCTAATTTGCATTCCCACCAACAGTGTAAGAGGGTCCACTCTAGTATTCTTGCTGGAGAATTCCGTGGACAGAGGAGCCTGGTCCACGAGGTCACAAACAGTTGGAAATGACTGAGCTGATTTTCACTCACCTCCTTTTGTTATCCAGCTTAGAGTATTTCCTACATGAAGTATTCTCTGATCACATGCTGGAAATTCTTTTCTTCTCTGAATCCTTGTTTAATTGACATCATTTTATCATATACTTCCATGTGTTATGTATATATTTTGTGGCTGCTTTGTATTATGCATATGTCTTCACTTCTCATGTAATTTTAAGACTCTTCAGGATAGGAGTTATTTTTTAGGTGATTTCCCCTCTTTTTAACTTTCTATTTTGTATTGGGGTATAGCTGATTAACAATGTTGTGGTGGTTTCTGGTGAACAGCAAAGGGACTCAACCATACGTATGTAACCATTCTCCCCCAAACCCCTCACATCCAGTCTGCCACTTAACATTGAGCAGAGTTCCTTGTTCCCTATACAGTAGGTCCTTGTTGGCTATCCATTTAAAATACAGCAGTGTGTGCATGTCCATCCCAAATTTGCTAACATCCCTTCCCCCTATTCACCCCCTCCAGCGACCATAAGTTTGTTCTCTGTGAGTCTCTGTTTTGCAACTAAGGAGTTATTTTTGTATTACTTTTTATCTAGTATAAGATCTGACATAATGCTTTCTCTGCCATTCATCAACATGAATCAGCCACAGGTATACATGTCACCTCCCTCGTGAACTTCCCTCCCGTTTCCTTCCCCATCCCAGCCCTCGAGGTTGTCACAGAATACTGGGTTGAGCCACCCGTGTCACACGGGAAATTCCCACCGGCTGTCTGACGTACAGAGAACAGACCTGTGCACACAGTGGGAAAGGCAGGGTGGGTCGAATTGGGAGAGTACTATACAAACATATACAGAGCATTTGGAGGTGATAAATTATTGAATGAATAAATGTATCATCTTCCTTTGAATTTTAATACGTTTTTGTATTGGATCACAGGTTAGAAATTTAAAACATATTTATCTTGTCACTTTGTTTCCTGTTGTGAGTTTTTGCATATTTGGAATGGTACTGCTTTTATTATTGATGTCTAGCTTCATGAATGCAGTTAGATGTTGAAATTGTAAACCAAAAGTTTTAACTTATTTATAATTTTTGGTTCCTAGCTATTGTTGAATGTAATGCCTAGTGTTATTAATAAGAGTACCTAGTAAATACTTCCCCAGTAAATTGAAGATTGCATAGCATTCATCATCCAAGTATTGTAAGAAGGAATTGACTAGACGTGTGTGTTATAACCATAAATATATCTGTTCTTAAGTAAATTATTTTTTAAAGTTTGCTATATCCAATAATACAATAAGAGAGTTCTTTGTGAATAAATGCCAAAATCAAAATAAGCCTGTGTGACCACTACTAAGCCTTGAGTGATACTTTTTTGAAGTGTATAATTATAAAACAGTTTTGCGTGTATTGTATAAGTATATTCTCTCCTCTAAAAGCTTCTCTTATCTTCTGACTCCATTAAGCTCATTTTACCATGCCAATCAAACATAGTTGTTGTTTGTCTAAGAATGCAGAGATGATACATTCCCTGTTTTAATTAGTGGTGGTAGATCTAATCCAATTATTTGAGAGAAAAAAATTTCTTTCTTTTGGAGGGAAGTGGCTTGTCCTGACATAAATCACTAATTAGCAAAAGTAAGGTTCCATAAGGTTGAGAAGAGTTTAAAAATGAAACCTTGAGAAATTTAAATTTACTTATTCTGCAGAATTCTTGTGCATGCTAAGGAATAGTTAGGATACTCTTTTTTTTTTTTCTTTAAGAACTCTCGGATTTCTTATTTCAGGCTTGGTTACATCTACCTCTCTTTGTGAAGACTGCTCTCTGGTTCTCCTCTCCCCGTCTGGCGTCTCGCTCTTTTCCCCTCTGTTTACACTGCATGGTGTGTGGTCCTCTGCCTGCCTCCAGCCTCATTCACATTTTAGCTCTGTCTGTGGCATTATTTTCTCTAAGTCATTTTCACTGTGTTCTATCAAAAAATCAGACAAAAAGCATTTATGTATCCATTAACAAAGCTGGTTTCTTTTATTGTAAATCTTTTTTCAAATAAAGGGCTTATCTCATCTGGGAACTCTGATATTTGTGTTGCCATACTAATTTATTTTTTAGATTTTTTTTTTTTTACTGTGTGTTACCACATATTTTGTAAAAGGGTATTTGCCTTCATTGAGAATTAAAAGTAAATTTATTTTTAAAGTTTTTTTTTTTAAACCAAGGAACTGCTTTTTAATGTAAAAAATTAATTCAAGCCAACAAGCATATGATTGATAACTATCATCAGTTCTCATTCATGCCTTCAACACTTTTATTATGTGCCAGGTACTATTGAAGGAATCAAAATAGAAATTCAGGTTTGTTAGTTTCCTTTAGTTGGAAGAAACAAAGGTTCTCTCAAGGCACCATCTTTAAAAAAAAAAAAAGGAAGATTGATTGTTGTGCTCTGTGTGGTATAGAACTGGAGTGCCAGAAAATCTGAAGCCACTTAGTGGCTGGCTGTTCCCTCTCGGTACTTCTCTCTGAGTGCCTGTTCTGATATCCTTTTGCTAACTAAAGACATTCCATTCCTTCTTCTGCAGTAAATGCTGCAGAGAGCCTGATGATGTTTTAAAATCAATTTCATTGAGCTATGATTTACATACAATAAAATATACCTATTTTAAGTT